GCCGCTCTGAGACACCTCTGGGTAGTGAAGGGCGGGGTATAAATCCAATCTCTTTTCTTCTTCTTCTTCTTCTTCTTCTTCTTCTTCTTCTTCTTCTTCTATCATCACTGGGTTCTAATAGCGAAGTCAGACAAATCTGAGGATACTTAAATCCAGTGATTGGAACAAAACTGAAACAATGTCCCAGGGTTGCAGAAAAATCTGAAATCTAAAAAAATTACATTGAGGGGTTAACCCCCGCCCAATCATCAGTAGCTTTATTGGTTTAATCATCAAGAGCTTTAAAGAAGAATCCTCCAATGGCAGCTGCTAGGCAACCACAGATTTTAGCTTTGATTTCTGTCAGTACAAGGCAGGGAACAGGACAGGGCCTTTTCCAGATTGTTTTGTTCTTTGAGGAAGGACTCACTGGGGCCAGGCCTGGCACCAACCACTGGGTGACTTGATACCACTCAACTGCATGACTTTCCAAGGCCCAGTTGCCTTCTACTGTTCAACAGCAGCTACTCTATTAAGGCCAGTGCGGTGTAGCTGTTTAGCGCTTCAGAATAGTGTCTGGGAGAGCTAGGTTTAAATCGCCAGTCTGCCATGGAAGCTCACTAGCTGATGTCGTGCCCATCACATGCTTTCAGCCTAACTTACCTCACAAGGTTATTGTGAAAATAAAAAGGAGAGGAGAATGATATAAGCTGTATTGGTCCCCACTGTGGAGAAAGACAGGGTATAAATGAAGTAAACTAATTGTAAGTTTTGCTGAAGCTGGGAGGCAGGTAAAAGATAGGTTGGTGGATTGCTGAGAAAGAGGGAATGAGGCTGGGAAAGGGGAGAGGATATGGGGGTAGCCAGGAGGAAGGGAAGGGGAAATATTGTAAAGAAGGGGATACAGGGGAAGTGATGTGTCTTACCCAAGATCTTGAGAGTTCCCTAGTATGCAAGCGGGCCGGGCCCAATGGTTGGCACCACACAACTGTGCCACAGTTTTTCTAGGTGGAGGCTGCTGGGGGAAGGGGAGGGAAAGCAGAAGATAGAGACAGATAAAGGTAGGTTGGCTGTTTGGTGGGAAGACAAGAAGGAATCAGGAAAAGGGGAGGCAAGGGGGCTTTCAGGGAAGGAAAAGAGGAAACAGTGGGGAGTGGGGAAATGAGATCCTGCCCCACAAGTCTTCCCACTTCTCTCTGTGTGTGTACATATATATAAAGACATTGGGCAAGGTCATTGGGAGACATAGGAGTGTGCATTCAGCAGAAGCCGAGCCGAATATATACCCAGATAAGGCCTTATTTAGGACAGCATTTGAATAATTTAGTTTTTATTTATTAGAAGTCCTAACTGAGATTTTTAAATTGTGGACTTTTATGTGTTTTTTATAATTCCTTTTTAATGTCCTTGTAAAGTGCCTTGAGTTTCAGATGGTAGAAAGGCTGTTCGTAAATGTTTTAAACAAATAAACAAAATGCAGAAAGATCGGTGTTCTGATTTCTCCTGTGTATAGGAGCTACAGGACCAGCAACGTGGCATGCAGGGGTTAATACTTCCCTCCCCCCCACACACACACACACTATTCCTGGCTTCTGTTTGGCCTAGGGCTGTCAGGTGCCTTGGGAAGGTCCTCTCCCTTTGACAAAGATATAAAGGGGTGTTATAAAGAAGGAGGAGGAGGAGAAGAGTAGCTTTTTATAGTCCACTTTTCTCTGGCCAAAGGAGTCTCAGAGTTTCTCACAATCGCCTTCCCTTCCTCTCTCTACAACAATTACCTGTAAGGCAGGTGGGGCTGAGAGAGAGAACCGTGACTGGCCCAAGGTCACCCAACAGGCTTCTGTAGTGCCACTGTGGAAGAAACCCTCGAGGAGGAGAAGGGAATAGTGCTGTCAGAGAACCTTATCTGTGCTTAGGATATCCAAGGGACTGCAGGATCAATTCCCTTCCTAATTAGGGGATGTCAGGTGCAGTGACTGGAACCTGACTCAGCATACCTGCCCAGTGAAACTTACCTAAGCAGGTTATAAAAACAGGAAGAGGAAACAGTAGCCGCTGGGTTTCAATGGAGCTGCTGGAAATTGTTGCTGTACGAAACCCCCCAGCAACTGAAGAGACGTGAGCAGTGCTCCCTCTAAGCTGAGTTGGTGTGAGATAGCTCACAGTTTTTTAGCCTCCGGCTGACACATTTTTGTCTTAGCTCAGGAACGACGGCTTCAGAGCAAACTAATCCATGCAGCAGCCAAATTGCTTGCTCACAACTTAATTCCAGTAGCTCACAAAGTAGAATTTTTGCTCATGAGACTCCACAGCTTAGAGGGAGCACTGGATATGAGGATCTTTACATTGTTTTTGTTACATGTTCTACAATTAGAGTATCTCTGTACCATAGTGCCTTGCCTTCATAAGCATTCTTTGACCACCCAAATCCACTAGAGAAGTGTTGGCAGTGTTTTTAATATGCAAAAGGGAGTGGAGCTCAAGCTGCTGAAAGAATAGTTTTATTCAGAAGAGAAGCAACTGTGTAAAGAGGAGAGGAAGGAGAAGGTTCTAACTAACCATATAACTGTATAACCAACAACCATGGAGGAAGTGGGCTTAAAAAAAGAAGAAGAAGAACTAGCCAGTGAGCCAATCAGGAGAAAGGAGGGGATCATTTAAAAATACCAGGAAGTCCTTAATCTATGCTAGTTACTTAACCCCTCTGATGCCCTCTGAGTAGGGCTGCCAAATCCCCCTGGGGGGTGGAAAATCCCCCGCCCCAGAGGCCCGTTCCCAGACGCCGGGGAATCGGGCCCCGGGGGGAACCCCGCCCCGGCGTGCGCGTCACAGGGCAGTGACGTCATGACACTGGGCACGCTGGGGGCGGGGCAACGATCATACAAGGGAAAACTCTATGGTTTTCCCTTGTATGGTCATGGCCCCGCCCCCAGCATGTCTGGCGTCATGACGTCATTGCCCTGTGATGCGAATGCGGCACGTTCGCGCTTCGCGTGCACGCCCACACACCGGGATCCCCCAGGAGTCCCCCACCAGCGAGATAAGTCACAGTTGGCAACCCTACCCCTGAGGGATATTATTCTTATTCTTCTTGCTTCCTGTACACAGCAGATCCTGTATATTTTAACAGAAAGAACCCTTGCCTCAAACAAGAAAACAGTCTCCGGCATAACAGCTTCACATGGAGGAGTGCGGAATCAAACCCGGTTCTCCACATTAGAGTCCACTGCTCTTACCCACTGTACCTTGCTGGGTGTCCTTCCATATTCACCTTCATTGCCATGGAAAGGTTCAGCTGTCCATTTTCACACATATGTAAGGCTCTCTTAAAGGAGCAGATTTTTTTTCTCTCTCTAGGCCTGTTAGCAAACCCAATCATGCTGACTGCCCGAAGGAAGTTTCTTGGCTGATGGACAATGGATTGCCAACATGCCCACTACCTGTCAGAAGGATTTGCAGTTCTAATAAAAAGAATCCCTCCGGAGTAGATGTGAAACAAAATAAAACGCCTCTGTTTTGTAAAAATTGTGTTTATTTGCGTATTCGGTGTCATATCGATACTTGTTTTTCCCTCGTTGCTCAAAGCAGCTTACAATTTTGAAACATTGGAAACATACAAAATACAGTGGAACCCCAATTTACCCGCCTGTCCAAGAAAATGCCTACAATTTGAAAGCCATTATTAAAGACCTAACAAATAAAACAGACTTAGGCCCCGGTCACACCGCAGGAAAAGCCGTGGTGGAAGTGAAGCTTTTTAGAGCCGCAGCAAAAGAGAAGCTCGGCAGCGGGACCAGACAGATCCCCCGAGCCACCGCGCATATGCTCCCCAGCGTGATCAGATGCCGAGGGGGAAGCCACGGACAGGAGAACGAGGCGAGTCAGCTGCGCATGTGTGCGTATGTGCAGTTTGGAAGGGAGCCTGGCATGCTGTGGGAGACAGGCGCATTGGCGATCACACCGCCACCCCTGCTGCGCATTTTCAAGTAGGTATTAGTATTTTGCAGGGGGGGTTTAACTCCGCATCTTTGGCCGGAAGGGACGGGTTGGGGGCGGGGGCGCGACGCTTGCCCGATGTTGGCATCTGATCGCGCCGGTTAGCAAATCCTCCTGTGTGAGCGGGGCCTTAGAAAATCTCCAGAAACTTCTAAAGTTAGCACCCCCCTCACCTCCTCAGTGAGTTTGTTCCACAAGGTGGGCCCTACTATGGAGAAAGAATGGACTCTACTAGATGCCAAATGGCCAACCATCAATGGAGAGAAAACTAGAAGGTTGGTATGGGCCTCTAAGAATGGGGAAGGTACATGCCACCACCAATAAACAAGGTTTTTATTGCTACTGTCAGTTGGAGACAGACTGGATCTGAGAGACCTGATAGTTTTCAGGACAAAGTTTAAGAGCACTTTATTGCTTTTAAAAAATGAGTCACTTTTGGCATTTCTAGTACAGTACTAAAACCTCATATCTGACTCCTGTTTTCCCGCTGCAGGAACGTGGCAGTAATTTCCCATGGAAGGCAATGAGACACTCTTCCATTTAAATCAACCGGCGGCGTCTACCCTTCTTGTCAGAAACTCAATTTTTTGTGTGAAATGAGACTTTGTTCCCTATAACCTTCCTCAAAGCTCCCTTCACTTCCTTGTTCCGGAGACTGTAGATCATGGGATATAGCATAGGTGTGACATTGGTGTAGACCAGAGAGACCACTTTGTCTTGCTCCAGGGAGTAGCTGGCCTTGGGCCGGATGTAGATGAAAATGGCGCAGCCGTAGTGGAGGACAGCCACCACCAGATGGGCAGCGCAGGTGGAGAAGGCCTTCTTCCTGCCCTGGGTGCATTTGATCTTCAGAATGGAGCTGGCAA